TTTACATCAGCCTTCACACCATTTCTGATCACCTCCACGCAGCCGTGATGTTCTGACTAAATGCTGGGCTCTGACGTGATGGTCATTTTACGTAGCGGTGACTCGCTTGTGGTAAGAACCAGAATGTTTCCCATCGAAGACTGTCTCACAAGGAACGAGATGGAAACCTTATGGGAAGCAGTGAATGGGAACTTGGCCATGGCAGTGATAAACAATAACAATAATGGATGATCGCATGAGAAGGGTCCTCCTCTGAGAACTCACAGACAAAGGTGTGAACACGTGGTCTGGCGATGGACAAACACTGCGTGGTGTGGGCACATTCATCACACGCAGCAAGGGAGAACGGGACCGGTCATCTCCCCATCTCGGCTGGGGTGCTTTGGCACTACACCCCACTTTTCAATGTCTGCATGGAAGAGCAGCTGCACACTCTCCTTGAACCCTCTCCTGGGCCCTGCCGAAGACGCGTTGCTGAACTGGCTGCCGTCTAATGTTCAATAGCACTAGCTTAGGACGTGTTCTCCATGTGCACCGTTTCATCCCATGCCCTAGAATCTTGTTCCGCTTTTTGACTTTTAGGGCTTCATTGATTCACTTATTCATTCTGCAATCGCTGGCCACTGACTTTGGACAGAGTTTGTGTAAAGACCTTCATCTTGTCCCCTGGTGTGAAGTCACAAATCCCTCCTCCTGCTCTCCCCACTCTGAGCAGATGAGGTCCTCTGTTTTCCAGACTAAGTGTTGGCGTTCTATAGTGGAAAGACACACCCGACTCCTGGAAATCATAGAGTACACGTGGAGTTCTCTGCCTCTCAGGCCAGCCTCAGGCCATCTAACCCAGGGGGAGCAGCAGGTAAGGAAACCCAGTAGGCAGAGGATGCCAACCCAGCAGACCCCAAAGGAAGCACCTGACACACTTCCTAACATCGAAAGCAACGGGTGAATGTCTTCAAATGTGTTTGCAAGAAATGAGACATTGTGCATTGTTAGGACGGGAAAGGCATTTGAAATTTAATTTGGATTCACAATCAGGAGATACAGCAGGCAGTGTCCTGACTATGCAGTAGATCACTGAGGGCAGCAACGCAAAGTGGCTGTGGGGTGGGGGTCTCCCTACCATCTGTGCCTTGACCAGTCTCAGCAAAATCCAAAATCTGCCAAAAACTGGCAAGTGTCCATCAAGAGTAGAATGAATAAACAAACTATGGTCTTTTATTCAGTGTAATATGAATGAACTGAAGTGAAAATGAATTTTGTAAACTGACTTGTAACAGCAAGGCTGAATCATACAATGTGAAATGAAAGAAGCCAGATACACCCACTCACAAGCTACATATTGTGTAATTCTATTTCTATAAAGTCCAAAACGTACGCAAAACAAATCTGCAGTGCCAGAAGTCAATAGAGTGGTTGCTACTGGGAAGGGGTGGGTAGAGACTGGGTGAAGAGTGATTTCTGGGGTGCTGTTAGTGTTCTTTTTCTTGGCCTAGTTGTAACATGAGCATATCCACTTTGTGATAATTCGTTGAGCAGAATATTTATGATTTGCACATGTCTTATGTATGACTGTCTTTAAAGAAATCCAAATCTTGGATTGGGCCTGGCGTTTCCATGGGAATTGGGCTTGCAAGAGCTAGGGAGGTCCTTAGAATCCCTGCCTACCATGGTAGGTCCATTTCTAGAGTCTGAGCAGAACATTCGGGTGACAGTGGCAAATGGGGGCAGGACAAGGGAGGGACTGGACTCGCTTTGGGGATCACCCAATACTAGGTCTTGGGAGCAAGTCCCACAGAATGGCAGAGCAGAGACGGCTGGCATTTGGCTTTGACTGAAGCTCTGGGTGCACCGGAACATGCAGATTTGTGGACAAGGAATCCCGGACCTGGGGCTGTTTGGGACTTTAGAAGACCACACTGCCCCTCCCCTGTGGCACACCCTTCTTACTGTAGGGAGTGGGATCGGTACAGGCGATGGCAACGTGGTCCTGATTTTCCACCCAGGGGGAGTAGCGCCTGTTTCCCAGCACAGTAAGCTACCAGGGCACAGATTGCCAGACCTCTTTCTCAACTGTTGGCCCGGGTGAAGACACCTGGCTTAATGGAAGAGGGCGCTGGAGGGAAGCTTTGGAAGGAGGGGCTCTGGGGAGGCGCAGCACTGATCGGAAAGGAGGTTCTGTGGGGTCAGATCACAGTGGGAGGTAGCAGGTGGGAAGGCGTATGTGAGCAAGGTAATGGGAGGAGCTTAATGATGGGAGAGGCGAGGAAGCCAGGTGCTGGTCGTGGCCAAAGTGTCGGGGCTGCTGACTTGCTACAGACCTGCCCTTTGGTTCCCAGTCTTCCGTTTCCAAACCATAGTCACACCCAGGGAGCTGGCGAGGCGTGAAGCCAAGGTAACTGTCCTCGGGCAGGGATGTGGAGCTGACTTTTTCCTAATTGGACTCCAAATATTTGGAGTCATTTGCCACTGTAACCATCACTGAAAACAGTCTTTGGGTGGGTGCTCCAGCCCGTCGGGATGAATGATCTTATGAAGATCCAGTTGGCAATGGGGAAGTGGGCTCGGAGAGACAAAAAAAGGATTTATCCCCAGCCTAGTGTCTGTCAGCCATAAAAAAAAAAAAAAAAAAATGGTCAGTGACCGCAGGAGGTGTGCCTAGCACTGGGAAAACTACGAGGTGTGATCAGGGTTAACATCCAGCACGTTCCCGCAGAAGTGAGCAGCTACGATGCTCTTTCTCTCGGAAGGTTTACTTACCGGACTGTTCGCCCTGCTGGGGAGCAAGATGCGGAACGAGTTGGGAAATCACTACTGAAATGCAACAATGGCAGCACTGCGGGTGTGCCTAACTCCCCGTCATGGGCTTTCAAGGCATCAGAAAGTACACATTGCAGAATATTTTAGGAAATCCTGGGGAAAGTGGTTGCTTTTTAGTCCAGAAAATACTTTCTGAAAGCACTTTTAGAACTTCTTTGTGCCTGGACCAGTGCACCAGAAAGTATAAGCAGTAACAATATCTGTTCTAGCTGCCCCGCCCTGCTCCCTGTCCAGGCATTTCTTCTGCAAATCACGTGGAGCCCTGATTGGGCAGTGAAGTCTGGACAGCATCTGGCCTCCCCCAAAGGTGTGACTTATTGCATGTCGCTCTCAGCTCCCAAGTATTTTGATGCAGTGCCCCAAAGAGCAGGGAAATCTCAATAGCAGGATATTAGAGGACTCCTTCAGCCAGTGGGAGGGATTTCCATCCCCAAGGCCAGCTGGGGTCACCAGCTCTCCAGGACAAAGAACTCCGCTGGGGCTATCCGGGCCTAAAGGAGCTGGGTTAGTGGCCATCAAGTGTTTGAGAGGCTCAGGCACCAGTGGGTGGGCACTGCAGTGACCTCTCTGAGCCCTGGCTCTCCTGACTCTGTGGTCCCCAAGGCTCGGTGTGTTGCTCATCTTGGCTTGGCTGCTGTTGTCTCCATTGTCTCCCCATTGAAGGTGGAACAACCACACCATTGAGCACAGACTGCCCACCAATTGGGACGCGTGCTCAGATTTGCCAGATGTCTCTCTCCCAATGACATGTGATGACGTTGACTAACCTGCTCCTTACTTCAGTTCCCTCATCTTTTAAAGGGCCTGGTAGTAACCGGTACTGCTGGTGGGGCTTCTGGGAGGGATAACTGAAATTTTAATAATTCAGGTACTTTGCACAGTGCCCGGCCCATAGTAAGTGCTGCATACGCAATAGGCATGATTCTAAACCAATTATGAGTCTTTAACTATAGACTATTGATTTCAATAGATGGTCCTGAGGGTTAGATGGATCAGGGGGTTAGAAGGTATGGTCTGGGAGTGGAAGAGTGTCTAGAAGTTTCCTCCAGAACAGCACACTGGCTACCTCCCAGAGCCCCAACAGAAGAGAGTCACTTGATGACACCTATGAGCCCCGAACCTCTACTGTCACTAAGACTTCTGTTTCTGAGAGCATTTCGGAGGGAACAGGAGCAGGTGGACAAAGATTTCAAAAAGCCTATTAGGTGGTGTTCAGCTGGGAAGCACCCTCTGACCAAGAGGCTGGTGTTTTCGAGGCTCATCATGTAACACGCAGTCATTTCAAACATCCCAAGATGAGCAGCCTTGCCCTTGGATGTTCTTTACTTGATTTAAAAATAAATAAATTTTTTTTTAGAGGAAAATGTACACCATGTGTTTCCCAACCTTTGCACTTCGTCCATCAAATCCGTTGTTTTCTGAGTTGTGTGGAGTCTAACAAGAAGGACTTTTAGAGGCTTTGAAGCTGGTTCCAAGGGTAAAAATATATTAATAATAAATTTCCTGAAACTCTCAGTCCTGCGGGTTCAAATGTAACTTACCACTCTGAACCCCAGAGACTTGAATTATGGCTGGGTTTGGCATTCCTTGTTTTGGGGGCATTTCCAAAGGGGAGAAAGAAACCGCATGGAAGTGCACCAAAATTCACTGTGTACTTCATGGCCATGCCTGTAGCAGCGATTTCCAGAACTTTCTCAGCCTGAACCTCCAGAGGGAGCCCCCCTAACTTTGTGGCCTCGGTGAGGCCAGATGGGAGTGGACCAAGTATCCTGACTTCCAGCCTGCTTTCCTTTTGGCTGGTGGATCAAAGCCCTTCCAGAACATCTCTCTGGTGGGGCAACAGTCTGTGTCACACAAAACAGGCAATATATTGTTAGGTGACTGCTGGCTGACAGGGAACCGTTTTTCTTTGCGGGGAGTGCGAAGGAGCCAGCTGCCACGTGGCTGCCCTTGAACGTGGTCATCTGGTGACCTCTGGTGGTGGAATTTTTCCCAGCATGTGTGCATAGACGTCTCAGCCAAGCCATCGGACCATGTTACATCTTCCTACACCCCTTCCCTCCTGTTTTGTCATCCACATGAAGCAGGGAGCAAGACTCCTCTGCAAACATCCAGAATAAAGTGGTGCATGTGCCTGACCAGACTGTTATTTCAGAAAAGTAGCCTGGTGCCTTCTCTTCCAGTGAACCTCTGATCCCCTGTAGAAACAGAAGGGAGCCACCATGAAGGAGAATGTGGCATCCACATTTGTTTCCATTTTGCTACTTTTTCTCAACACCAAGCTTCTGAACGGTAAGTAAGAGACTGGCCTGCTCTCTTTCTTTCCCGGGGGTGTTTCCTGAGAGGGTGGGGAGTCCAGCACTGTCCTCTTGCCATGCACTTATGAGAAATTAAAATGTCCATGGCATTTGCTGCTATTAAGTTGTTTGCAATATATTTGGCACTAGAAATTAATGCAAAAGCTTCTCACTGTCCTCCGACGTCCACCCTCAGGCCGGGCGTGCAGCGTGGCGGGTCTACAGACCACGAGACCAGCGCTGCGGTCCGGGTGGTCAGGCATCAGCTGTGTACCTCGAGCCATAACCCCATCTCTGTGGGCTCCCACATGTTCAGGCTGAGGATAGTGATGTTTCCTGAACCTCAAATGATGTATGTGAAAAATCTTCGGAAAACTGTAAAGAGATCTGAGGGACTGTGGTTGCACGGTGGGGAATGGGCACAGCCCACTGTGCCAGGATCCCAGCCAGTGGGAGAGAGGTTCACAGCTACACCGCACTGCGCACCTGTGTGCACCCTTTGTGTTGCTGGGTGTGTACACTTCTGGATACGCCTGTGTGTGCATTAAGTTCTCCATATGTGCCTGATTGCAAATACTTCTCTGTGTGTACCTCTCTGTATGTGTATATTTCTGGTTGTGTACCAGTGTGTATTTGTCTAAGTGTGCACCTAAGTGTACTTTTGTGCGGGGTGTGGCATGTGTTCCTAAGGTGGGCTCTGTGTTGCCCTGCGTGTGGACCCATGCGGCTGTCTCCTCTGAAAGGAACATTTGACTCATTGTAAGTTGACGGCTTTCCTGTCCTCTTCTGAGTTTCCTGGAGGCACTGCTAATAACCAGAGGATGTGGAAGAGGAACTTTCAGAAAGGGCAAAAGAAAAGAGGGGAGCAGTGTACTCCACAGGGAACGTCAAGTACTCGGACGGTCAGCAATAGCCCTGTCTGGCTTCTGAGTTTGCTCGTTACGGAGCACAGAGTTTGAGTGTTGTTTTTTTTTAACAAACTTTTCTTTCTATTTCAAACACTCCTCCCCAGACATGATAAAAACAAAACCGTTGCCTTAGCCTGTGAAATTGTCCCCGAGGCCGAGCACAGTTACTGTTGCCAGAGTGGGCCCCAGCTGGCTGCGTGGACCCTTTCCGTGGGGCGTGGAGCTGCGGGGCGGCCGGCCACACCGTCGGCCTGGTGGCCTGGGCCCAGCCTGCGCACCGCGTCCCCGCTCGTTAACTCCTGCTTTCTGACCAGGGCTGCCTGGCCCCTCTTCTTTTTGATCTGCTGCTCAGCTAGTGATTCTGGCCTGGAGCCAGCATGAGGGATGGGGAGACAAGTGTGAGAGAAAAGAGAGAGACCCCCCAAGTTGCTGAGACCCACACCTGATGGCTCCCCTCTCTGCTCCTGCTTCCTGAAGTAAGCGCTCAGGAGCGCAGCTCAGCACAGAGGGGGACCAGGCCTGTGGGGGTGGCTCCCAGCCCAGCATCGGGGCAAACCCAGCATCACACATTCCTCTCGGGACCTGACATGTAAGGGAGAGACGAGGGGCCCGCTCACCAAGAACTTCGGGTTACGGGTGAGGCACATCCCATCCCCTTGACACTGTATGCCCACGTCACCGCTTGCGGACATCCGAGCTTCGGGCTGGAACTGGATACAGACCTTAGATCATGGTGGCAGCTGGTAACCAGGAGACCAGCTCCCCACTCCCCAACTTCTTACCATGTTTCCTGCCCACCCCCCCACCACCATAAAATTACAGGGAAGTCCTTTGCCCCTCACCACACACAGGCCCAAGGAGAGAGGGGGCATGTGAAAGAAAAGGAGACAAAACACCAGGGTTCAGAAATGGGGGTGGGGACAGCAGGGGACGTACTGAGAGCGGGTCCCAGGTCAAGCAGAACGGAGTTCAGGAACAGTGAAGGGGAAAGGAAGGAGACGGGAGGGGAGAAGGCAGCGGAAGGAGGAGTACCAGTGACCCAGTGAACACACAAGACCACAGGATGAGCTGACTGTGTGGGAATGGCAGAGAGGTGTCGCTTAGGGAGCAGAGGGGACAAGTGCCGGGAAGCACCATGTCAGCAAGAGGAGGGGATTTACCGTCACCCTTACACTCTGGGTGGAGATCAGCCTCACACACCCCACGGAATTACAGAAGGGCCACCGCTCTCCAGTCCCGCCTCCTCCTGATGCTCACGCTCTTCAAATAGTCGTTTGTCACTTGATCCTAGGTTGCCAGTGTCTCCATCTCTCACACACACACACCACCACCACCACCACCACCACCGCCACCACCGCCCACCGCAAAGCTCGCTCTCCCCCCCCCCCCCCCCCCCCGTTCCGCCAACATGGGGCAGCTCACAGAGGAGGGTTGCTGGATGCTAACTCTTTGGCATTTCGGAGCGCCGCACCCCTAGGCCTACTCACCCCAAGCCCTCCTCCCTGGCGTGGTCCCATAAGTCTGCTCTCGTCACCAGCAGAATGAGGGAATGCTTGAATGGCTCTCAGGATTGATTCCGGTGGCTTGTGGCTTTTTCTAGGACAGTCTCCTCCTGGAAAACCTGAGCTCTCTAAATGTCGCTCTACTGAGAAGGAGACATTCACGTGCTGGTGGAAGCCTGGGCCGGACGGAGGACTTCCCACAAACTACACTCTGACCTACCGCAAGGAAGGGTGCGTGTCCTCTCTCCAGGCAGAGCAGTACTGCTTCCGAGTTAGAATCACCACACTCCCCCGGGTTGACACCCGTAAAGCTCATGCTTCCGAGGGGAGGGCCCCAGGCATCCACGTTCAGGCCTACCCACTGTTTCAGGCATCTACTCTGGGTCTTAGAACATATGCCCATGGCTAAGGACAGACTGGTGTTCCCAGCCGTCTGTTCCAAACGTAGGCTGCAGCCCAAGGTCACATATAAGCATTCACTGAGTGTGAATTAATTTCAGGTGCTTATCTATACACCTGATGCTATTTATAATTTTTTTAGTAATAGTTACTTCTGCAACATAAAAAGACTGTCATGTCGTCCTTGACAATCATGGCACATTAACTTTTCAAATTTGTTTCATGTCCGAGAAAATTAATAGCCCTATGAGGAAGGTGAGGATTTTTCCTTAGGAAATTGCTCATCAAACCTCCCGGTCCCCCAGAGCTCACATCTGCAGCCAGCGTTGCAGCGCAGAATGAAAGAGGTGCTCTCTGGGGGAGGGTTCATCACACTGCGGTGAGACCCCCCTGGAATCCAGGGGGAGCAAACAGCCGCTGGCCCGCTTCCTGGTGCCTGCACTTTGCTGTACACAAAGCTGCCAGCCCTTCTGGGGCCCAGGGGGGTGTCAAGCAAGCAGATTTCAGGAGTTCCAACTGGGAACCCAGATGGAGTACTCCTCCACCCCTGTCTGGGGTGTCTTGCCTCAAGACCCCCAAGGCTGATGAGAGCAGATGGATGGGCCTCCTGGGCCGGAAATGTCTTTCTTTAGTCACATCTGCTGATGTGCAATCTGAAACATACTCACATCAGCTTTTATTCTCTTTAATCCTTTCAAAAATGAATGGGATTCAACAGATGCATGCAGCGATGCATCGCCATTCCGTGTTAATGTGGGGGGAGGTCCCTGTTCCTGAGAGGACCCCCTGGCAGAACCATGGGCACGCCGATGCCTTGGTTATTGAAAGTTCAAGTGTTTATGGGCAGGGGCAGGTGTCACAAAGCCCACAGAAATCTGCAGAAAGGAAGGGTTGATGAGACCAGTCATTAGGCTCTAATGTGACACTGCCACCCCCTCCCCCAGCATTCTCTTCCCTCTCACCCCCAGGTGACATGGACAGGGCACAGAAGCTTGGGGTGTTCGTCCTTCAGCTCTGCTCCCCAAAACCCAGTGGTGTTGCTCTATTAAGAAAAAAACTAGACTCTTTTTCCTATGTTCTCACTCACTCCTACTGTATCATTTGTGCAGAGATTCAATCATCTATGACTGTCCCGACTACAAAACCGGTGGCCCCAACTCCTGTTACTTTAACAAGAAGCACACCTCCATTTGGACAATATACGTCATCACAGTAAACGCCATGAACCAGATGGGAAGCAGTTCCTCGAACCCGCGCTTCGTGGACGTGGCTTACATAGGTGAGGGGAAGGGCGACGGGGGAGGAATGTGTGACTCCAGACTCAGGTTGAGTCTTCCTGACTTATGGATTCATCCCCAGAAAGAAAGAGGAGACAATTCGCAATACCCTCACCTACTAAGTAGTTTAAACCCATTTTTATTGAATCGATCATGACAGTAAGACTGGCATTCCGGGTCCTCGTGTTTCTCTGCTTTCCCTTGACCTTTCTTCCCATCCCCTTGCACCAGACAAGAATGTTCTATTTGTGCTTCTTTGATCGACCCTTCCCCTCAGTCCTCCTCCTGCAACCAGTGTGCCCTCCCCCCGGGCAAGCTGGGCCTTCTTTTCTCCCTCCCCCTGGAGGGCAGAGCTTCTCCACAGAGAACTCCTTAGAAGGAGTTCATCTGCTTCTACACTCACAGGACTAGCTCCAGCCTCTTTGCCCAAATTTAGTAGCCAGTGTACATATACTTCTTAGAAATTAGAGCTCTTCTTTGAAAAATAAACACTTAGGGAGTGAAGAGTGCTCCTTGATCCATGCTTCCATGTCTCATTTTGTTCATCAGTTTATTTTGTTTATTAGATTCCACATATATGTGAGATTATGTGATATTTGTCTTTTCTCCAAGTGGCTTATTTCACTTAGCACAATACTGTCCAGGTCTCCTCCATGCTGCACAGTATTTCATTTTTTATAGCTGCATAGTATTCCATTGTGTAAATGTACCACAGCTTTTGAATAGACTTACAAATCTCATAAGGAAGAGGGGGTGGGAAGAGATTAACCAAAGAATTTATATGCACATACGCATAACCCATGCACACAGACAATAGTGTGGTGAAGGCAAGGGAAAGGAGAACAGGGTGGAGGGGGGTCAATGGGGGGGAGAGGGAACATTTGTACTACTTTCGATAATAAAAATTAATTAATTTTTAAAAGTTAAAACAAAAACAGTGCTATTTGAACAGCAGGCTGAAGACCACGATCCTAAGTACAAGGTTTATAGACATCATTGGCAAAGCAAATCAAAATCAACTTGCGAGCTGCTTCTTGCTTTGCCTGATCAACTCTGAGCTGCGGGGCAATTAGGCATCACTGTAGGAGCCTGTATGCTTTATCAGGGATGAAAAAGGGAATCTAAGGGCAACACATGGGTTGGCTAGGACTAGGGTCAGCCCTCTTCTTCAGATAATAATCTAGGGAGAAGCTAATTAGGTTCAAGTTTACCCAAGACTTCCCGATTTACCTAACACCACCCAACAGGAAAATTAGGCCAGGAGTCTCAAATATTCACTTGCATATCATCACAGTGGCTAGTCCTTAAAAAGCTTCCAACACCAGCTGGTTCGCACTTGAATATTTTCTGCCCCCAGCAAATCATTGCAATGAGCATGGGGTAGAAACGAAATTCAGTCTTAGTTTAAGAAAATCCAAAAGGTAATCCCAATGACAAGTCGGAATAAAATAAATTTGAGTCATATGTGAGATATGAGATCTTTAGATGCTAAAGGCCAAATACTTTCTTCTTCATGGCTCCTTCTTGAATTGCCTCGCCCTCAAAGATTAAAGTAGCGTTCGAGGGCAAACCATTGAAAGAACTCGAAAACGAGCCACGGCCGTCACTGGAAAGCAGTGATTCTCAACTCGGGCTATTTTGCCTCCCACAAGGTATTTGGCAATGACAGGAGACATTTTTTATTATCGTAGCCCTGGGAAGGGAGACGAGCGTGTTCCTGGCATCTAGTGGGCAGAGACCAGAGATGCTGCCAAGCATCTCACAGTGCGCGGGCCAGCCCCACAATGGAGAATGACCTGATCCAAAATACAAACAAGGCTGAGGGTGAGAAGCTGCTTGACGGAATTCATCCTGAACATTTTACACGGACTTTTTGCGCAATGTTTTTTTATCAGAGGCATTTCTCAGTGTTGTGTTTAAACTTAAAACTTATATTGAATAACTGATGTTTATTTAGTAAGCACACAAAAAGTATCCTTGCTCAGCTGTTACTTAGTAACATAAGAGCATTAGGATTCATGGCAAATGTTCTAATGTTCCTTTTGTAGGCAATTGTAGGTGATAATGCCAGGTACACTGTAGCTGCCCTCTCTCTTATGCCGCCTGGTGTGGAGGGTGGTTTGAGGAGGTAGTAAGTGAAGAGAGAATGTATTTCTGACTAGCAGGAGTGAGACTAGGGTAAGTCAAGCCTGTGCCCTAGGCACCTCACTCTTAAGGAGGCACTCATAAACTTCTATTTAAAGAAGTTTGGCCAGTGTAGCTCAATGGTTGAGTGTCAACCCATGTGCCAAGAGGTCACTGGTTTGATTCCCGGTCAGGGCACATGCCCAGGTTGTGGGTCTGATCCCCAGTGGGGAGCATGCAGGAGGCTGCCAATGTTCTCTCTCATCGATGTTTCTATCTCTCTCTCCCTCTCACTTCCTCTCTCTCTAAAATCAATAAAGAAAAAAAAAATTTTAATAATAAAATAAAGAAATCTGAGAGTGAGTGCTTCCTTCATTTTTTCTTTATCATTAGCCATTTTCAAGTACGCGATTTAGTGGTACTAGTTCATTCACAGTGCTACGCAACCATCACAACTGTGTAGTTCCAGAATACTTTCATGACTCCAAGCGGATACCCATTAAGTACTTACTGCAGATCCCTTACTTGATCCTCACCAATCTGCATGGTTTCTCTACAGATTTGCCTATTTCGGACGTTTTATATGTATGGAATAGTATGTATAGTGTGTGGCCTTTATGTCTGGCTTCTTTCATTTAGTGTAATGTTCTCAAGACTAGACTACGTTGTAGTATTATCAGTACACACTTCCTTCCTCTTTATGGCTGAATAATGTTTCATTCTACGGTTATTGTTTATCCATTCATCAACTGATGGACGTTTGGATTGTTTACGCCTATTGGCTACTGTGAATAGTGCTGCTATGAATATTCACGTGTGAGTTTTTGTTTGAACTCCTGCCTTCATCTGTTTGGGGTATGTTGGCTAGGGCATGAAATTGATGGGTGACATGGTAATTTTATGTTTAACCTTTTGAGTAACTTCTAGACCTTTTTTCCATTTTCCATTCCCAGCAGCAATGTATGAAGGTTTCCATGTCTCCAACATTCCCACTTGTTAATTTTCATTTTTTGAATCCAGACATCCTAGAGGGTACGAAATGGTATAACCTTGTGATTTTTATTCGCATTTCCCAAATGACACTAAGGGTCTTTCATGGACCTGTTGGCCATTCGTGCCTCCTTAAACTTTACACCCTGTGCAGCTCCCTTGTTTCAACCTGATCCCAACTCTGCTGAGCAGCACCTGACGTCAAATGCAAGGTGTCTGGTCACCACGGGAAGTGAAACCATAAGCCATGTAGTTCTGTGTTCAGATACCACTTTTACTAAATATGGGGTTTCTTTCCTATTTTCAGTTGAACCAGACTCTCCTACGAATCTGACTTTGGAAATAAAATATCCAGAACTCCAAAAACCATATCTGTGGATAAAATGGGCCCCACCCATCCAAGTTGACCTAAGATCCGGTTGGCTCACACTCAAGTATGAAATTCGATTAAAGCCCGAGAAAGCAGCTGAGTGGGAGGTGAGTCAACCCAGAATGTTTGAAAGGAGCCATGTGCTTTGGCAAAGACGAAGCCCTTGCTGCTGGGAACAGGCCATTTCTCCTCCTTATTGGGCCTGATGCTGAGGTGGCCTGCCCAGATGTGGAAGGGCCTTGCCCCTCCCTTGGGATCGGTGGAGGTGCATCCTACGTCTCTCCCAAGGCTAATTCCTTCTTGGCACAGAACAGCCTCTTCCACCAGGTTCCCAACCCGCTGCCCTCAGGAGAGCAGATCTAGACACCTATGAGAGTGCTTCTTTGGCACCAAGTAGGAGGGGAGAAATCTCAGTGTAACCAGTCAATGCTCGGTGGCATTTTTATTCACTTTAAAATATTTCAATGTAAAAAAATAATACAGAGGCCCTGGTCACGTAGCTCGGTTGGTCGAAGTATTGTCCCTATATGCCAAGACTGTGGGTTCGATCCCCAGTCAGGGCACATACAAGAAGTAACCAATGAATGCATGAATAAGTGGATCAACAATACCAATGTTTCTCTCCCTCTAAAATAAATTTTAAAAAATAATAATAATACAATCAATTATAGGCATTATGATATTCCACTTTTAAATGCTTTAGCATATGTCTCTTTGAGAAAGGTAACATTTTTCAAACATAGCCAAAAACATAAGATCACACATAGAAAACTCATTCAAGTTTCTTAATATCATTCAAACAGCTAGTCCATATTTTAATTCCCCCAATAGCTTCAAAAACAAATCTCGAACAGTTACTTTGTCCAAACCAGCATCAACCCAGGACCCCACACTGTGACTGGTTGTTACCTTCCTTTAGTGTGAATATACTCAGGAGACTAGCCTCTTGGCTCATAGAACATCCTATTTTTTGCATTTGTCTGATTAGTTCTTTGTGAGGTCATTTAGCTAATTTCTCTGCCCCCCTATTTCCTATAACCAGACATTAGATCTAAAGACTTGATGAGATTCAGGTTAGACAATTATGAACAAGAATACTTCAGAGGTGATATTGTACAGCTTCATATTGTGTCATGTCAGGAGACACAAAGCATCTCGTTGACCTACCACAGATGGTGCTGAAACTGAGCCCTGGGTCCGGGAGGTCGCAGCCCGATGCCTTGATTGTAAAGCCGCGTTTACTTTGTGCTCTGCTGCGTCAGCATACACCATGCCGCTTCTCTTCCACCTGGTGGCTCTACTGGAGTACTTCTCTAGTCATTATTTCACAGGGGTTTACAAAATAACAATTTTACAACGTTATTAACTGGTTGCCTTCAGAATTTAGAAGGCAGCAGGGACGGTGCAGAATATCTGTCTTTCTGAAGCAGAGTTCCAACTGGAGAGAGAGAAGACCTGTTGATTGTCGCGTGGACAGTGTCTAAGGGATGGGCTGGAGGACGGAAAGGTGGGAACAGGGTATCTCTCCAGTCTGATCATGCAGCCTCACTCCTCCAATAGTTTCTCATCTTAGGGGAAAGTGTTTCCTCAGAACACGAGTCAGAGTGCCTTCTGTTTTCCTTGCTCCTCCTTAGACTCATTTCGCCGGGCAGCAAACTGAGTTTAAGGTCCTCAGCTTCTACCCAGGACAGAAATACCTCGCCCAGGTGCGCTGCAAGCCCGACCACGGCTTCTGGAGTGAGTGGAGCCCACAGAGCTCTGTCCAGGTACCTAACGGTGAGTGTCTCGCCCACGCTTTGCTTAGATTCTTAAATCTTTTTAGAACTGAACAAACTTAGTAAATTTGCAGGTAGTAACTACTAGTAGAGAAACTATTTTGAGCTTTAGTCAGAGGGATGAGCAGAGGAGGGTTTATTATTTCTTCACCCAACACAAAGACATTTGGAAGTGTCACAGAGTTGTGTCCCTGGGTCACTGGTGAGGACGGTTTCTAGGAGAAAGCTGCAGACAGGGGCCTGGCGTGTCTCAGAGGGCTTGATGGCCATTCTGCCGGCCCCGCCTGCTCCATCCCTGTCCGTTAGTCAAGGTCATCGTCTAGTTCTCCCAGAATGTGTAAGGTGTTATCCCATCTTAAAGGCATGAGCTGAAGGGATTTCCCGTCTCTGATGTCGATTCCATGTCGGTTTCCCAGTCAAGGCTCACTAAGTGAGGGGCACTCAGTGCTCCCCCAGTGTCCTGAAGAAGCATGGTGGCTTGTGTGCCACGGGAGAACAGCTCATCTTACATTTCTGAAGAATTTTATGGTTTACGACATCGGTATCTTGTTGGGTCCTCCCAAGCCTGTCAGGGATTCAGACAGAATAGAATTGCCATTGAGAATCGAAAGGGAGGAAACTGAAGTCTCGTGAAGTTAGAAGTCTTGCCCAGAACCAAATGGCAAAGCCTAGTGCTTGCGACAACTTGCCTGGACACGGAATGAGGACGAACCGGGCTGACCTTACTGGGGAGAGCCATGGGTCAGGACACCACATGCATCCCGTCCAGCCCCAGCTCTTCCTAAATAAAAGCACAGGGTCTGCAGGCAGAAGCCTGGACTCAAACCCCAGACGACAGCTTTGTAGTTACGTGCCGACGGGAAAATCGCCCTTTCCGTCTCCTCCCTACACACAGGCAATGTTTATAACGAGCTTGCACCACGATGGCTTTCAGTAAGAACTTCACAAATGTTACCTTTTATTATTACTGCTACTGACCATGTGACTTCGAATTTCCTCTTTAAGTAGCAAATAAAATAACATGTAAAAGGATTTAGAAAGTGTCGAATACTATAAACTATACGGAACATATTCAAATTTAATAATATTGGGAAAATTAACCCATTGTTAATGTTACTCTGGATTGCTATTCAGATCCAAAGAGGTGTAGGAAGGCGGGAGGGGGAGCTTACGTTCAAAAGTTTCATTCATTAGTTGTGTTCGTTCACTTGTAGTTAATGATGCTGGATGTCAGCAGTTCTCAAACTGTGGGTCGCAACCCCTCTGGGGGTTGAATGACCCTTTCACAGGGGTCGCCTAAGACCATCAGAAAACACATATTTCCGATGGTTTTAGGAACTGAGACACGGCTCCTCTATCCGTCTCCGGGCAGGTCCGCCCACATGCAGATACACCCACACACAACCTGAGGAACTGTACTAAAGGGTCATGGCACTAGGAAGGTTGAGAACCACTGCTGTATGTGATCAAAGCCTTCTTGGCTGTTTCTTTTTAGATGCCACCAATACGGACACCGCTGTGTGGATCTTTGTGGCTGTGGTTTCTGTTGTCATCTGTTTGATTATGATCTGGGCAGCGGCTTTGAAGGGCTATAGGTACTTCATTGTCTATCAACCTTCCTCCCAATCATGGTTGTCAGGGATAATGGTAAAAAAAAAGGCAATACTGAGATGATGGAAACCTACAGATAATTCAAGCACCTGATCTTAGCCATTAGCTGCAGTGTGTCCACCCATAAGAAAAATCATTTGTCATTGCTCCCAGAAGTAGCAGAATGAACTCATTGGAAACTAGTGCTCTTTCCGTCATACTGAAGCTCACAGTTGGGAAATAGTAAAATCCTGTCAAGAGCAGTTATACACAAGAGAAGCAAATAATGCACTAGTTTCCAAATCAGCGCCCCAGTCAGCCAGAGCCGATTTTGATGTTGGCCTCTGTATTGATGGTCTTCACCACTGATCGTCAGTTTCATGTAGCCCCAGATCTTGAACGCCTCGCTACCATAGTCCATGTAGCAGCTATTTACAGATAATACTAATCTTTCAGAAATTACAAAGTGAGAAAATGAGTCATTATTTTTTATCTTACAAATTATTTTATAGCATGGTGACCTGCGTCTTTCCACCAGTTCCTGGGCCAAAAATAAAAGGATTTGATATTCATTTGCTGGAGGTAAGTGCCGGAGGCGGAGAGTGAACCCTGACTCACTGATTCGAAGTAACTGCCTCTACACATGCACACACAGTCACATCGGCGCAGCCTGGCTGGCTCAGGCGCCCCTGCCCTGCTGTCCCCCCTCTTTAGAGAAGAAAATGTGTGAGGCATGAGAGTACTTCCCACGAGACATTAAATGTCAGAGGGAAAAGAGAGAAAGCCAGGAAAACGTGGCAACACATAGCAATGCTTGCTCGATTCACCAGGTCTATTCATGAGCACAGACATAAACATTTTGTACAAATAATCAGTGTAGGAAAAAAAGGTGACTATTTTGTTTAATACAAAAGGTGACTATTTCGTTTAATACCCCCCTCCCTCACACTGTGGCACAAGCTTTCACCTGAGGTCCCTTGCAGAAGGCCCTGGACACAGAATACCCCGGCGCCACGCTCCCTCCCTTTGAGCACGCAGTCGAGACGGGTGGGCGCCATGGGGCTGGTGATACCAGGACCCACGTCGGCTGATTCGAGTGGGAATTAAATTGAAGTGTTTTGAATGAAAAGAGAGGTTAGAACATTTTTAAGTTCTCTGCAGGTTGAAATCTGTAGTTTTAACTGGACCTTAAGTTTAACGCTGACATAGAAAAGCAGTTACCTGCGCATTCTGTCACCTGCCCCAGCCACTGAGAGGCTGGGTAACGGTGCAAGGCTGTGCGAAGTGAGCCCGAGAATGTGGCCTGACTGTGCCCACCGACTGCAGCGTCAGCGCAGGGACTACGGTTCTGGCATCTGGGCTCTTAGTTCGGTGCTCTGAGCCACCGCCGAACATCTCAGCTAACCACAGTCAGCACCGTCTCTCCCACCTTGTCACCACAGAAACTTAACAGTAAAGTAACTGCTTTCTGTGCCAAAAAATATATAAAAATAAAAATTCTGTGTTCTTACATTACCTCCAATCTTGGAAAGGATCCTCTCGCCGGCACTAGTATTCCCATTTTACAAATGGAGAAACTGAGAATCTTCGAGCAGCTTGTTCAAAGTCAATACCCTTTAAGGAGGGAAAAAGCCAAGATTCGGCACCAGGACTGACCTAAGTCGGAGGATCGGGGAGGAGAGTGGGAAGTAAAAGGAGACGGCAGAAGGAAGAATGAAGGAGAAGGAGGAGGGAAAGGAAACGGAGTGGAGGAGAGAGAAAAGTAGGCTCGGAGAAGAAGGGAGAGAAAGGAAGGGAGAAACAGGAAGAGGAGAGTTGAGAGGAGAAGCACCTTACTGGTCCCCGATTCTAGAACCTGCTGGGGAGGTTAGGAGACCAGCTAGAGATCTCAGGGCCACGAGTCCCAAAGTGCCGGATGCATGTTTCAGGTGCTGCACAAACTTTCTTATGTTATATGTTTCTTATCTGCGCATGTACTACTTGCCCATTACGCTCATGATCACTACTGCTTAGAAAGAGACTAAGTTAAAATCATGAATTGGCTTAAAGAAAAACATTAAATGAATAGAGGTCTAGGAGGCGATGATAGAGGGCCTGGTACTGAAGGTAGGGAGGTGCTGCCCAAGGCCAAGCGCACGGCTGCGCGTTGATGCTGGTTTGGAACGCCCCGACGCTAACAGCCATTTCTCCTGTCTGTGTTTTCACAGAGAGGCAAGTCTGAGGAACTCCTGAGTGCCCTGGGATGCCAAGACTTCCCTTCTGACTGTGAGGACTTGCTGGTGGAGCTGTTAGAAGTCGTCGACAGTGAGAACCAGCAGCTGATGCCAGGCCCTTCGAAAGGGTACCCGGGTCAAGGTATGAAGCCCAAACACCTGGATCCCGACAATGATTCTGGCCAGGGCAGCTATGACACCCCTTCCCTTCTGTCCAACAATTCTGAGGAGCCCCAGGAACATCCCTCCACATCCCATGCTCCTGTGGGCATTGAGAAGCCAGAGAACCCGGACAGAAACAGCACCCACACCTGGGACCCGCAGAGCACAAGCTTGGAAGGCAAGACCCCCCGTTTCTATGCCAATGGACACAAATCTTCAACATGGCCTTTAGTGCAGCCCCCCAGCCAGCACAGCCCCAGATCTTCGTACCATAACGTGGCCGATGTGTGCAAGCTAGCCATGGGCGCGGCGGGTGCATTAGCCGCTTTGTTGGACAAAACAGACAAACGTGCACTAACGTCTTTGCACAGCGCTGAGCCCGGAGGGGAGGGAAAGGCGGCCGAGCAGAAGGAGGAGGAAAGCTTGCATCCCAAGACTGGCGCAGACATCCCCTGGCTGCGGCCCCGGGAGAAGATCTCCTTCATCTCTGATAAGCCCTTGGATTACGTGGAGATTCACAAGATCGGCAGAGATGGAGCATTAGCGCTGCTCCCCAAACAGAAAGACAACAGCAGCCAGAGAGAGAAGCCTTGTGCTCCGAAAGCCAGAAAGGAGTACGCTAGGGTGTCCAGGGTGACGGACAACAACATCCTGGTGTTAGTGCAGAATCTGCCGGCTCAGAACCTGGCTCTGTGCGAGGACCCAGCTGAGGCAGCGGTGCCATCCTCGCAACAGAACCAGGAGGAAAAAGACCTGGCCTCCTTCACCACGACCCCCAACAGCTGCCGACTGCAGCTGGGTGGGTTGGATTACCTGGACCCCACGTGCTTAAAGCACCCTTTCCAGTGACGGCCAGCTCACGATGGTTGGTTCGAATGGGATTTTTCTTCAGGTCACACCGCAGCGCACACGAAGTGTACCCTACCAGAAAAATGTCTGAGAATAGGGTGGAAATGACACCGCAGACACCCCGGTTCACTCCTTCCCATACTCCGTTTTCAACCAGTTGCCTCTTTCTCCAACAGCTGATTCCAGAGCAGATCATTTTGTTTCCTGTGATTTGTCGATTTACTTTTTTGCTATTAGTTATAAAATTGTATGTTACAAAAGCACACGGCTTAGTGTTCTGGAGGGACAGGGCCAGTAGGCACGGCCTCGGCGAAGGCGTCTGTGGTTTGGTGCGTCGGGGGAAATGAAGTCGTCGGACAGTTTAGCTCAGGAAGGTGACAGATCTGAGACAAAGGCCATGGAAATCGCTTTGCACACCTCTGTCATTTGAGTAGGGTGAACCAAACACAACACACTGAAAGAAAGGACGCATTCCCGAACACCTGGCGATTACTTCCGTCACTTCCCAGTACCTTAGTGCCACGTTGCTGATGGGCAGTGTGCCTCCGCCTCTTTCCTTACAATTGTTGGAATTTGTTAAGCATGGGTTTGCACCCCCTAAATTGTATTTCACTCTAAAGCCCAGCCTAGCGAGGATAGTTCTGGAGAGTAGAATTTTCTTACATGGGAGGCAAATGAGCTCTTTGTGGTGAGTCCTTCTGAAATGTTTTCCTGCTTCATTTCAGCACGACGGGACATTTATTATACACCCTATAATCTTCTCATAGTGGAAAAAAAAAAAAGTCCCAAAAGACTAACTTTAATTTAAAAGCTAATCACAGCAGGAGGATAATGGAGATACTGCCTTACTGTACATACAGAGTCTACTTTGCTACAAACCCATATATTTAACAACATATTTTTCAAGACTATTTTTCTATCACTTAGGTAAAATAAAAGAGTATTTTCTATCTTCCCAGTACAGCTGTTTACGTACTCCGTGGGCACAGTGATTTCTGCTATGAGGCTGTGACGAGCCTTCACCGCAGGTTATAGTACATGCAGTGCCTGTTTGTGGGGTGAATGTCATGCCAACCAAAGCCCACCAAAGAGTACAAAGTGGATGACAACATTCAATTGCCCATACAGTGTAGTGTAGTGTACCTGATTCTTTTATCTCTAGGACATGTTAAACAACAATCACCAGCCTCAAGTTTAGGGCTCTCCACAGACAGAGGCTACTCCTCCTATAATTTAAAGCAACCCTGGGGCTTCTGCCTTTCTCTGGGTGAAGAGTCAAGAAACCACCATAAAAAAGGAACGTGGTGACCTCCAACATACTGTGTCAGAGAGAGGGGTTTGTTTGGCTTTGTTTTCCTGAGCAACTTGGGTAGCAAAGATATTTCGGGCGAAGCCATGAGTTAGTTATCTCTCTGGACTAGATCCGTCTGCAAAATCTTGGCAGAGCAGAGAGAGCACTCACGTCAGAAGTATCCAAATAAAAGTGTTAAGAAACAGCCTCTGCGGAGTGCAGGGAACAGCTACAAAGGCCGGGGTACGGTGGTAAGAACCTCCACATCAGTTCCACGGGAGGCTCGCCAGGAGGGGTCAAACGCTTGGAACTCCGTTTTCGAGAGTACATCCATGACTCATGGGCTGCCTCCCTGTTTTTTATTTCACCTGATGGCAGACAAATCCTTTCTCTGTGCCCACTCGCTAGCAGGACTTGAAGGATTTGAGCTCACCTCTGTGAGTTCCTGATTCCACCCCAACAAGCCCACGTTGACAGGAACTGGATGCAGAGGGGGCCTGAGGTCTGGAAGCAAGCGCACTGCTGCTGGAGCTCCCAGACTGCAAACCTCACAGAGCCGAGGCTCTGTTCTCCCAATATGCAAACCCCGCGGAGCACGGGAACATTCGTGAAAGTGGTCCAAGTTCATTCGGTCTCCTGGCTCCTTGCAACTCAAAGTCCGATCTGAGGACCAGCTGTGTCACCACCTGGGCTCCACGTGGAAATGCAGAATCTCAGCCTCCCTGCCCCAGACCTCCAGAGTCAGAATCTGCAGCTGACTAAGTTCCCCAGGTGACTCACGTGGGGAATGATGTTTGAGAAACACTGCCCCAGATTACCGTTTCCTCCAAAGGTTATTTTAGTGCGTGGAAACCCCTCTCTTGGGAAGTCCGTTTGACTCACACTGAACAACACTGTATGTAAGGAGGAGGCATAATTTTAAAAAATCTATTAGTACTTTAAGATTTACATCATGGAAGAGAAGGACTTGCAAAAGTGCACGCAAAACTCCAAGAGGTCTAGGGGATATAGTCCACCTTGGGTAGCATTGACCAAAGACTCTGCCCTTCAAAGCCAATACATACTAAAATTTTCCCAGAATAGTCCGTTGTTCTCCAAGATGTATATCCATCACTCTGATCATTTGAAAATTGAAAAAATAATCTGGTTTTGGCATAGATGAAAAAAAAAAAAAAAAAAACAATTTATGACTAAAGACTCAACTTCAATTAAATTCCTAAAAAACTCTAATTAGCCACTCATTATCAAGCCAAGACTATATTTGTTGGCCAATTAGCACTCTATGTTTGAATTAAGGTTTTTTCCATGGGTAGAATATTTTCTATCAAGGAAACAGATAGCTGAGTGGAAAGATGCAGACTGGGGTTCAAGAGCCCCACGTTCTAGTCCTATGTCCCATTAAACAGATCCATTCCCTTCCCTGAGCCTTGTTTTCCTCCAAAGGAAATATTGAGCCACATCGTTTCTAGTGTCCTTTTTTAACTCTGACTCCTTGATTCCATGACTCACTGAATATTTTCTAGCCAAGATCATTTAACCAATGCTTTGTATCTTAATTAAGCTAATAAATAATCGCCCTTCATCATAGAAATACAAGTGCTCTTCAGTGATGTCCTTATTGTTGTTCCCTTTCAAATCATCAGTTCTAGTTGGTCCTAACACACTGCACGTGCATTTTATAAATCAGGTAGGTACAGAATCATAGTCTAAGATTATGTGCAAATATGTGTGTAGAGAGAAGAAGAGTCATGAGCCCAGCGGTGTGGCTCCATTGACTGCGCGTTGTCCCATGGACTGAGAGGTCCGGGTTCGATTCCCTGTCAGGGCACGTGCCCAGGTTGCGGGCTCCATCCCCAGAAGAGGGTGTGCAGGAGGCAGCCGATCGATGTATCTCTGTCACATCGATGGTTCTATCTCTTTCTCCTTCCCTCTTTCTCTAAAAAATCAATAAAAACATATTTTTTTAAAAAGAAGAGGCGTGAGATTAAAAAAAAAAAAGACATATTGAATGTCGCTCTAATTTTTAGAAAACTTATCTTTTGCTGAATCAAGTGATGCTTATTCCTTGCTGAAGCCAACAGCCCCAAATGTCTTTGCCTACAGATGGCTGCTGATTCTGGTATTTCTTTCTCTCTGTCTTCTGGATTACCAACCAGCATTGCACAGTTGGTCTAAAGAGCCTATGCTTTGAATTACAAAAAGTCATATTTTTGTAAACATACTCCTGAATATTCATGTTACAGAGCACACGGAAACGGGACCGCCAGTGTGTGATGCATGGAAGCTCATGATCCCAACTGCAGAATGTCCTGTGGTCAAGGTGTTACACAGGGGTATTGGGCACCTCACCATGAGCACAGTACTGTCAGCCACGACATTGACATGTAACTGACTCTCCTCTCTCCTAAGTGCCTAAGGCCAATCCTGGTAGGCAGTTGTGGACTAAAAGCTTGCTTTCACTGGTTTAGTCCAAAGTGGGTCCGTCCCTGAGCACTGTACAAGATCAAGGACATTGGCTGCTTTCCCCATAGTGACCCAGCTGGATCGGAGAATCCTGAGGAAATCTGGCTGCCCGCTGCTGCCCACCACTTACAGAAAGACGTGGCCCTGCCTTTAGTAACTTCTCTGTCTCCTTAGAGTGGAAAAGAAAGAAGCAGATTTGTACATTTTACAAAGTGCCTTTCTTTACTCATATTTTTTTAGAAGTTTCCTTTTTACACACACACACACACACACACACACACACACACACACAAAGTATATTGATTGGAAAGTAAATTTTCCTTTGTTTTAAATGTAAATGAATGGAGAAGCCAGAAAGGGAATGATACAATGGTCCAACCAGCAACTGTTCAGCAGATTTTTTAAATGTATTGTTTAACTGATTTACCACAGAGTCGATGTGAATAGTGTGACTTCCTTTGATAAGGAATTGACTCTGGCTAGGGTTTCGGGATCAACCTGCCACCCCTAGGCTTCCATTGACAAACATGTTGATGCACTTTTGAATGGCTTTGAATTGCATGCATGGGCCTGAAAAGACAATGCACACACACTGGAACTTTGCACACATGCGGGAAAACAGACAGGACTCTGGTTACTACCCGTGTTGGCTCCTGTAGATTTGCCATCGACAAAAGTGGCACGTGTACGTCAGTGAACAAATTCTCCTTGTGCCTTTGCAGCTTGAGCACAGTCGCATTGTCTCTAGGGTCGTGGGCTGAGCTTTCAGTTTCCAGGTATAGGTCACATCGTTGCCCCCAAACAGGCTGTGTGACTTTGTGCAAGTCCTTTAAACCCTTGCCACCAGTGTCCCCACCTATTAAATAAGTTGGATTGGCCTAAAATGTTTCAAAGACTTCTTATAACTCGAACCATCTTTGATTCTCATGATCAAAGTAAAATCTGCAGTTTCTGGTGACAGGCTCAAGTACAACCAGAGAAGAACTGTCAATATGCTCTTAACCTGAAGCAGTGACCAGTGTGGATGTAGCAATGCTTGAGAGAAGAACAGAGAGTCATCCCTTTGAATCAGACTGACTTGAATTAGCGTCCTTGCATCTCCCCCTCTTCTTAGCTGTCCATACTTGCAGACTCTTTATTCTCTCACCCCAGGACCTATGTCTTTCCTCAGAGTCAATTATGGTGGTAGCAACCTTAAGAACTGCCAAAAAACTAAATTATTCCTAAATAATTAGGAATTATTTGG